AGAAGTCTTGGCTAACTTCTAGATTTCACTATTTAGTAATGGGTTGGATAGTAATGCCTATAAGTGTAAAGAAAAGTGGACAACTTTGAGAAAAATAATAAATTTATGAATAAAGTTATTGATTTTTGAATGCTTAATACCCAAAAAGAAGCTCAGTATATGTTTGAATATCATTTTGGATCTCAGGAAATGGGATCCAGATGAAAATAGAGATTTGTGAGTTATCAATACATGGAGTTTATGTATAGCTAATTTGGGGAGAAATGCAGAATGCGAACAGAAGTGAACCAAGAAAAGGTCAACATTTAAAACTGTGCTTAGCAAATAAAAGAATACCTAATTAGTAATAATTATTTTTATAAAGACTCAGTTTTCTCACATAACTAGAAATCCAGAAGTTATCACTCTGGGTCTTTGCACCTATTCATGCTGCCTTCAGGATCCTAGGTTGTTTTTGTATTTCTATTTTGAATCTACTGTTGGTTTTCATGTTCATATTTACCACTTCATGATAACAAGAAGATGCTGCATCTCTACCTCATATCCACATTCTAGACAGGAAAACAGCAAAGTAGAAAGAGGCAATTTCAATATAAGAAAAGCAAAACTTGACTTGTTTACCCTAGAAACCTTGATTATATCTCATTAGCAAAAATTGTCACATGACTATAACTATCTGAAAGAGTGTGCAAAAGTATTATTCCAGCATACTGTAATCTCAAGCAAGCCTATTTCTGTTAGTAAGAAAAAGAGTTGAAAGTGCTAATGGTAGGTAATTACCAGAATCTCCCCGCAAACATGTAAGAAGTTTGCTCTATAGGTTATCAGAAGACTCAGGTCTTCTGAAGGATCTTGAGAAGGAACAATCCAAGAGGCCATAGATACTTGGAGAGAAGAGTGTCTTGTACTTCACACAACTAGGAGGTAGCAGAAGCAGCAAACATTTGACATTCACATAGAAAAGAAGTGAGTAGAACATATGTTGAAAAAGTTCTGAAAATAGATGGCTGTCTTCCTAATTGCTCTATTTCATTTGTACATGAACTTGTCCCTACTTGAACACCTGCTCTTTTAAAATCCTAAATATTTTTCAGGTTCTGCTCTACTTACTTTTTTGACTTCTTTGATAATCTCTAATGTTTCAGTGATTAAGATGGATTTTTATTCATCATGTGAGTCATTATAATCTCTTCATACAGTTTGGAAACATTTTGTTCATTTCTGTGAATCATCTAATCTTGAAAAAAATAACAGTGGATATTGTGTAGTCTCTTGGTACTAAAACACTTGTTCCTTCAGATACTGTGCAAATAGGAAGCTAATATCATATAGCTGAGACTCAGGCAGAGATCACCTTTATTTCAACATTGCCTCTTTCTCCAAAAGAACTTGCTTCAAATGTCTCCTTGATGCAAGTTATAAATATTTCACTTATCCTGGCCCCAATTCTGGACAATTCTACAGTGCCTTATCTTGAGATCACAGACTAACTTGTGTTGTGATCTAATCCTGCTTTTTTTATTCACCTCACAGGAGTTTATCCTGAGAGTATTCCCCAATAATATTTTATGCCATTAATCTTTATCTCAGGCTGTGCGTCCTGGGAACTCAATCTGAAAAATAGACATTTAATCAATTTTAAGAATATATACTCAAAGCACTGAAAATTAAATAAAGAATATATACTATTGACTGACTCTTCAGTATGTTATATGTGTGAAGTACTGCCATCTTCTAGGTACTATTCTTTTGCAATAAGAGGAAAATGAAACAGGCAGCATCTCCACCTCACAATGCTTATATTTGAGTAGTAAAATATAAAGAGTAAGCAAATAAAATGTAGTTGTACTGTATATCTAAGTATAAAAGTTGTCTAGGTAGTTGGATAGACAAACCTGGAGTTCAGGGTAAGATCTTGATCAGAGATCCATACATGAGTGTCACCAGGACACAGATGGTATTTAAACCCCCAAATCAACTGAGGTCACCTAAAAATTAAACAGTAATAAAGAACTGGAGATTGAGTCTTGTGCCACCACTATATGTAGAGGTCAAGAAAATAAAGAGCCAGCAAAAAAGACTCCAAGGAGGTAACTTGTAAAATAAAAAAAGGGAAGAGTGAGTCTTGCTCCAGAGATATGAGTGGAATGCAAAACAGGGTAAAGGAAGGAATTAAGAAGCAAAATCGATTTTTTAAAATTACCAAATCCTTACTCTCAAGCATTAGGCAGTTAGTTTAGAGAAAGTAGAGAATAATGCAAACTGATATAGCTTAAATTTGATGATTGGATTTTGGGTAAAAGTGAGAGTGAGAAAAAGATGGCTGTAAGTGTTTTGTGACAAATTATTAAGTGAAATAGGAAGATTAGTGATGGATCTGTTTAAAGAAAGCAATTTGGCCAGGTGCAGTGGCTCACGCCTGTAATCCCAGCACTTTGGGAGCCCGAGGTGGGCAAATCACCTGAGGTCAGGAGTTCGAGACCAGCCTGACCAACATGGAGAAATCTTGTCTCTATTAAAAATACAAAATTAGCCAGGAATAGTAGTGTATGCCTGTAATCCCAGCTACTCAGGAAGATGAGGCAGGAGAATGGCTTGAACCAGGGAGTTGAAGGTTGTGGTAAGCAGAGATTGTGCCACTGTGCTACAGCCTAGGCAACAAGAGCTAAATTCCATCTTGAAAGAAAGCAATTTAACAAGGAAGTATGGATGAAGTACTGGGATGTACAGAACACTATGGTAAGCACAAGAACATGTAATTAAGGCACCACTCTTCTGATGAGAGTATATCAAGTTGAGGATGTGTATTTTTAATATATTTTCATCCTTATATCAGAGATTTCTTAATCAAAAAATTATAAAAATCTCAGATGAAAGGGTGAACAAATCAAATGGCTTTTAATAGTGACAAATCCAAAGTCTGTTTATGTTTTAAGGATAAGATGAATAAGGCAAAGTTAAGTTATCAATAGAATTCTTACCTACATGGAAAAGGGAGAAATTTTATTTATGATGATCATGACAATGCCATGATGATAACATTATGAATATATCCAACTAGCATGCACACTGGCTTTATACCATACACTGTGTCCCTCCCTGTTCTCACAATAGCATGACATGTAGGATTTCTATCTCCATTTATGGGCAAAAGAAATAAGGACTAGAAGTTAAGTTACTATCCAAGATGTTAAATAACGGTATGAAGATTTGGACCCAGACCCAGACCTGTCTGACCTCAACACATATTCTTTCACTCTGTTTATATCTTTCTTTAATCAGAATGTGATTATGTGGATTTTCGAAAGGAACATAGGTATTCTGCTGGGTTAACTTACGAAGGATTTGTCAATAGTGTTTGTCAGCTACTATAGCCATGTTTACACTTACCTTTATATCTTAATAACAAATATTAAGATATGTCTACTAAAAACATTGATTTAACTATAGAATTTCATTTTTATTAATAAAACATACTCAAGCAACTTATATGACACTTTTGGGGTCTCGTTCCCTACATACTCCCTCTTAATCAAGAATTAAATTTTCCCTATTGGGAAACAGCCAGAATGCCTTGCAAAATTCAGGATGTTAGGAACTATAAGTTTACTGTTGTCATCTCACTACAAACTATATTATTTGATTAGAGAGGATATCAAATAAATAATCTGAAAATTACCAATGCCATTTAGATAACATATTTTAAAAGCTGAATTGAAGTTTGAATGAAAGTATCTGTGACTTTGGTCTCACCATGTGTGAGACTAAAAGTTCTGCCTATGAATCTTATATCTCCTTTTAGGCCTCATTACAAAAATAAACTCCTTAGATGAATAATTTTTTACTTTCTGTCTGAGTTTGAGAGAGATGTCTAGTTGTGTTTATTTTTTCTAAAGATTTTGGCAAGACAAAATATTTTTCATTATAAAAACCATAGGGGAAAATTTAAATTAATAAAAAGAGAATGAGAACAATTTCAGGCCATTTCTTTGAAGCTAGCTAAGCAATTCAAAATCAAAGGGAAGGGCATCAAAGAGCCATTGTCTAGGAAGGCCTCCCTTCACCAGATCAGACATAAATATGTTTGGAAGAAATCATGTATTTAGTTCAATGTGCTTAATTATTTTTAATTGGCTGGAGTTGGAGTTATTGTCTTTTTCATTACTTTGACATCATCTGTTTTTCTCGTTCCCAGTTGCCCTACTTGGTCTTTTCCAAGTCCTTTGTACATTAATATATCCTTCCCAAAATATCTTCCCTCTTATAACTACTGCTTCTGACTTAACCTGTAAAACGGTATTTAAAAATCTGAATACATTACCTTTAAGCATGAATATATACACACAATTGTATATGCACACAAAGTTCCCCTCCCCAGTATTCACACAAATCTTTGTGATTAAAATTTGAACAGAATTTTATTCAAAAAAAGAAGACAGACAGACTTTGGATAAAAGCCTTTTTTTAGGTTTAAAATATTTGAGAAAACTGAACCTGTAAATCCAGTTTTGATTTACAGATCAAATCTACTCCCATTTTGCATTAATGTGTCAATTAGAGAACTAAAATTTCAACAAAGAATGATCTTTCCTTAAAGCAGTGCTATCCAGTGCAGCTTCCTATAATGATGATTACATTCTATATCTATTCTGTTTGATGTAGCCACTAGCCATATATAGTTATTGAGCCCATAAAATGTAGCTAGTGCATCTGAGGACCTGCACTTGTATTCTTATGTAATTTAATACTCACATGTTATTAGAGACGTCTGAACAGTCCAGCTCTTAGGCATTGAAATTTCTGCAAATTATTGGGAAGTTTAAACATAAAGAGACTTGCTTCTCTATAAAACTAAAATTGGGTATTCACAGAAGGATAAGTTTAGAGAGGTTATCCTTCTACGTGCTAGAGTAATATTGTTTTCATGTGTACAATGAACACTTATTACAAGGATTATATCAGATTATCATAAAAAATGAGTAAGTTAATTGAATACTTACCAAGTGTCGAGCAATATAAGAGTCTCAGGAAACAATGGTGACCAGACCAGGATCCAGTTTCCACTGTAGATAAGAATGGGGGATATACATAAGAAGGGGTATAGGTATTGATCAATTGATGGTTGCAAAAATATAAAATTACAGTAGTAAAAAGCTAATGGAGAAAATGTTATAAGGCTCTAGAATAGAATGCTTTGTCATAAGAAGGTCAGAGAAACATTACTAGAGGAAGTGATGTGGAAACTGAAAACTGTAATATGAGTTCTAGTAAAGAGAAAAAAAGAGTGTTCCAAGAAAAAGGAGCAATATATACAAATAGTGAATATGAAGGATAGAGAGAAGGACGATGGGACTGGATAAGAGAGTAAGAGAAGAACAGTAGAAGCAGAAGGTAGAGGTTACATAATGCAGTGTGCTGAAGGCCATGATAAGAATTCTGCAACCTATCAGCAATTTGCATCACGTTCAATGGCATTAAGTAGAAGAGAAACATGATCCAAAATGTTTTTGACAAATCACTCCACAATGTAATATGGAGAATAAGTTAAAGGAAAGTTTAGGGAACATTGGGGAAACCTGTTTACAGGCCACGGAGAATCCCATGCTAGCAATGAATACAGCAGGGAATATTGTATTGGCCATGGACTTAAAACAAACTGACTTGAGAAATACTTAGCAAATATAATTGACAAGAATTGCTAGTGGTTTAGATTCAGTAGGTAGAGAAGAATACTGTATCCAAGATGACTGTTAAGTTCCTTACTTATAGAAATAAACAGAATGCAGGGTCATTCACAGAGAGTGAAAAGTGAAAAAGGACTAGAAGTGAGGGATAATGTTAGGAGTTTATTTTTTTAGATCTCCTGTATTTGAGATGGCATTGAGATTGCCAAGAATAAATATCACAGAAGAGGCCTGGGTAATTGTGTCTGTTACCTCTCTATAGGTAATAATTGAAGTCATGAAGGTGAAAGAAAATATCAGATTAGAAGAGGGGACGTTCTGTAATTAAGTTTAAGTAACTTCACTATTTAATGCTTCAGACTGAAACCTGAACAAGATACAAAAGGGTTGTGAGAAAATCAAATGGTATTGTTGCAAAAAAATTCAAATATAAGACTGTTTTAATGCAAGAAAGTAGAAAATAGTGCGAAGTGTTACTAAGAAAAGTATTAAAAGTATTCTTTGAATTTAGATACAGAAGATAATTGCTGATCCCATGAAGAGCTGTTATGGTAGAGTTGAGGAGCCTGATGCCAGATCAGAGTTTGAAAACTGATGTACAATAAATGAATAGAGCAATTATAAATATCTCTTTTGAGAAGATTTCATTCAAACTTGCCTCGGTTTTCTTTTAAGGATTTTTAAGGTAGTACAATTCAGGACACAGGTATGGACAAGGACTTCATGACAAAAACTCCAAAAGCAATTGCAACAAAAGTCAGAATTGACTAATGAGACCTGATTAAGCTAAGGAGCTTCTGGGCAGCAAAATAAATTATCATCAAAGTGAACAGCCACCTACAAAATGGGAGAAAATGTTTGCAGTCTAACCATCTGACAAGAAACTTAAACAGATTAAACAAGAAAAAAAAATCAAAAAGTGGGCAAAAGGTATGAACAGACACTTCTCAAAAGAAGACATTTACCCAGCCACAAACATACAAGAAAAAGCTCAACATAACCGATTATTACAGAAATGCAAATCAAAACCACAATGAGAAGCCATCTCACACCAGTCAGAAAGGCAATTACTATAAAGTCAAGAAACAATAGATGTTGGCAAGGCTGTGGAGAAATAGGGATGCTTTTACAGTGTTGGTGGGAATGTAAATTAGTTCAACTATTGTGGAAGATCTATTCCTCACAGATCTAGAACCAGTATACCATTTGACCCAGCAATCTCATTACTGGGTATATAACCAAAGGAATAGAAATTGTTCTACTATAGACAATGCACACATATGTTTACTGGATCACTATTTAAAATAGCAAATACATGGAAAAAACCCAAATGTCCATCAATGATAGACTGGGTAAAGAAAATGTGGTACATATACATCATGGAATACTATGCAGCCATAAAAAAGAAATGAGATCATGTCCTTTGCAGGGACATGGATGAAGCTGGAAGCCATCATTCTCAGCAAACTAACACAGGAACAAAAAACCAAATACCACATGTTCTTACTCATAAGTGGAAGTTCAACAATGAGAACACATGGACACAGGAGAACAACACACACCAGGGACGGGTCGGGGGTGAGGAAAGGGAACTTAGAGGATGGGTCAATAGGTGCAGCAAACTACCATGGCCCATGTATACCTATGTAATGAACCTTCACATTCTTCACATGTATGCTGTTTTTTTTTTTTTCTTTTTGAGAAAGAATTTACCTTCTCCATATTTTGGTGAATGACATCATAATTCACATGGATATGAGAAACATGAAAGTTAATCTAGTTTTATTTTTCTAATTTAGCATTCTTCTACCAGGTGTCCTTAAAGACTCTCATGACTAGCAACATCACTAAATCCATCATTGACTGGCTATATGAATCTTCAGAAGGCAACTTAACCTCTCTCAGCCCTTATTTACCTCATTATAAAACATCAAAAATGAAATCTCTCTCATAGAAGTACTTGGGATTAAGTGAGTACTTATGTAAAGTGCCAAGTAAAATGCATATGGAAAGTTCATATTAACTGATAGCCATTTTAAATATGAAAGGTACTCAACCTATGCCTTTGTCTCCTTTTCTTTACCATATCAATATTTTTGTTTGCATTTATATTAATTGCCTTGCCTGGTTTATATTAATTGTCTCCTAACTAGCACTTGAATTCATCTAGCAAAATGACCTTTCCAAAAGGCAATATGATCATATTGCTGCCTTTCTTAAAGCCCTTAAAATATTTCAGTAGTTCCCCACAGCTTCCAGAATAAAGTTCAAATTTCTTAGATTAGCACCTAAAGTCCATTGCATTTTGATGCTCTCCCTAAAATCCCAGCTCTATTTCCCACATGAACACTTCTAATCAGCCCCACAGAACTTCTTGCTGTCCTCAAACAAATGGACCTTATTCCTCATGCTATTATGCAGGTGGTTTCCATCAGTCCAAGAGCTTTTCCTCCTCTCCCTTCACCAAAACACACAGCTGACATGGATTTTCTCTGTGTCCTAACTGTATCCTGTGCATTTTCTTACTTATGTATTTAATTAGAGGACAAATATTGGAGCTAGACTTCCTGGGCTCACATACTGGCTCTGATATTTATTAGTTGTGTGCCATTAAGCTCATTACTCTATGACTCACTGTTATCAGCTGCCCAGTAAGAATCATAATAAAAAGGTCCACATTTTTTGGGTTGTTATAAGGAATAAATGAGTTAATACACATAACTGTTTAACGCTCAATAAATGTTAGCTGTTAATATAATGTGATAGCTGCTATCTTGTAACACAGTGATAACTCACTTCACTGTGCTATATACTCCTTGGAACCTTCTATTATTTGTTTTAAAGTTCTAATATCTAAAAATTGCTCCAATGCCTATTATTGCTCAATATATATTGCATAACGAAATAAATGGATGTACTCAAGAATAAATTTCACCATGTTGCATCTGAGTTCTGAAAGTACCAACATGAAACAAGTAGTAGTAGCTTGGGCACTGGGGAAAAAATCTCACTACATATATTAATAAGTTAAGAAAAAGTATCTTTCTAGGATTGCTGTGTCCCATTATTTGCTATTATCTGAAGAAATAAACTTGTAAAAACAAGTTCATATGAGTTCACTATTAATGAACAGTCCATGAAGAAATGTAAATTATATCTTATGGGAATTTGAATATATAATTGAAAATTTATTAAGAGTGGAACTAAGTCATTTTTAAGGCATTGGTTATCACATAAATTAGAGATATATTTTCAATTAAAAAGTCTAGCTTACTTTTTTTTAATTTCAATTAATACTTTTCTAGTAGTGCTCCCATGAAAGATCCATGACTACAGAATACATAATATTTTAGATTATTCATAGTATGCTTAATAACTAAATAATCTAAAATATTATGTATTCTGTAGTCACGAAAAATAGCAGCATGCTTACTGAATGAGGTCAGGCACAGTGGCTCATGACTGTAATCCCAGCACATCAGGAGGCTGAGGTGGGTGGATCACCTAAGGTCAGAAGTTTGAGACCAGCCTAGCCGACATAGTGAAACCCCATCTCTACTAAAAATAGAAAAATTAGCTGGGGGTGCTGGTGGTCGCCTGTAATCGTAGATACTTGGGAGTCTAAGGTACGAGAATTACTTGAACCCAGGAGGCGAAGGTTGCAGTGAGGTGAGATCTCATCACTGCACTCCAGCCCTGGGCAACAGAATGAGACTTTTTCTCAAAAAAAAAAAAAAGTCAAAATTACATTAGTTTTGTTTGGTTATTTATTTTACATAATCTGAATTGGGCTGAACAGGTCAGAAGTACTCTCTAATTCCCAATGAATCAACTTCTCCAGTACCCTGTGATCCTCACATTAGAGTCAATTCTTGGTGATCTCAGAATTACTCACTCTACAGATGACAAAGATAATTTATATGTGGTGATCTTAGAAGATTTTGAGGTATCATAGCAAACAAACTAAACTGATTAGTGACCATTAGTCAGTTATCTAACTCAGATAACTTCAAATAGTTGGGCACAAAGTAATAAGGCTAATGTGTGTGATGCATAGTAGCTAATCTTAGTTCCTACTGTATAGCCTTCTGTCATTCAGAGATTTTTTGCAAGGGAAGAAGTGTAATTCTAAAACTTCAGTAATTAGGGAAAAAATGTATGAGCATGATATACAAAGCCAAAATAGTAAAATAAATGTTTTAAAAGAATAGTCACTTATCAATTCAGAATTTGAAGCTTTAGGTAACATTTTGAAGATTTCTATCCCAGACTTGCCTATGACCTTATTGACATAGACCTCAGAATTAGAACTCATTGAAAATGATCTTGGTCTCCTTACCACATTCATGGCTAAGATTTGATGCTTCCTTACTCATTTGAGCTCTCTAATATGATCAACTTGATTCCCTCTCACATGCTTCATGTACTGTTGATGGCCTTATACTCACCTCTCACAGTTGATGTTAGACATTACTCCCTTGTTCTGATCTTGTTTTCTCACATCTGACTCACTTCTGCTCCCTTGACTATACCTACTATGCCCCTCACCCTGCAGTGAGTCATGGAAGAACTCCAGTCCTACAAATAAAAATGGGACAATGTTTTAAAGCCAGGGAATAGAGAGTTTTCAGCTTGCACAATTTTAGAAATATAGTATGTATATTTTCCTCCCAGTTTAGAACATACTAAGTTAAGCATTAATACTAAAAGGCAATGTCAGATTTTAATATTTGCCACAAGCTGAAAAATGCAAGTTGTAAAAAATAACTTGCAGCAGGTTGAAAATTTGATAATTGTCTTAATAGATAGGCTCTAAGGCTGCATAAATGTGAAAAGGATATTCTACATATTTATTCATTAAATGCAGAACTTCAACGAAGGAAATATTAAGACTGAAGGATTATGTGCCAAAAAGAGCATTAAATCAGCCTTTTTGAATACTTTCATTCAGGTTATTTTGCATAATTACCACCAAATGTTTAATATTTCTGAATAGGAACAGAAAAATAATCACATAAGCCATTTCCAAATTTTCTTCTTATAAAATAAGAGTTCTTTACCAAACAAACTGTTCAAACTGAAAGCATGAATATCAAAAATATATTTAAAAAATTCTGTTTAATATGAAATTATCATTATAAAAAAATAAGTATAAGAAAATCTATCTTGGCTTCAGTTTTCAAAATGTCAATCTCTGAAATTATTTTGCTAGTAATAAAAACATTAACTGCTCACTTATATCTTTGTATTTTTCTCCCAAGGAAAAGCTATACTATCTTACAATATTTTGAACTTTACTCAAGCATAGATAAAATTTAACAGTCCAAATATGCTATCAACACATAACTGTGTCTACAGTCAAAAATAAGAGCTGACATGAAACATGGCTGAGACAATGTGATATTTCAGCTATTTTTGTCCTTCATGCTAATAGTTGCATTTTGTCTGAGCTAATCACATGACTGTCATATTGAGCACATTCATGATTTCTAACTCAAAATCACCTGTGATTTTGATAGTCATTACAAATATTTCATTATTTTCCTGAATTAACTAAATTCTGACATCAGTAGAAAGCAAGACCACATTACCCAACATGGATTGATTACCTGCTTAATTTTTACTGACAGAACTATATTCTGGTTTAGACAAATAATGTGTTCTTTAAATTTGGGTACTAGAATATACATAAGAACCAGATTACTTCTGTAAAATAATAGAGGCAATCATACATTTTTCACTTCTGTCAAGGAGAAACTAATAAGCCATTTGGATACTAATAATGATGGGATTTTCATAAGCAGAGACAACTTACCATTTTTCTTAAGACTAATTTATAGGCAAGGGAAGTTCGAGAACAAGCAAATAAAGAACAAGGAAACATATGTAATCATAGTGACCAAAACTGAAAAACCATGAATACTACAGAGGAGGAAACTCAGTGAAATAACACACCTCCCCCTATAGCCATTTGATGTAAATAATTTAGTTTGGGCAATATGGAAAATGTCCAAGTGAGAATGAACTATGATATGAGGAACTAAAGTCTCAGACTGATACAGGTTCTCACACCAATATTGACTATATTATCTCAAATAATTAAACATTAATGTCTCTGTTTTCCTGTCTGACCAATCAGCAAAAAGCTGTCTGAAGATTATAGAAGATCAGTATGAAAGTATTCAGCATATCTGTTACAAATATGATATTTACTAGGGTTAGAACATTTGTCCCCTTCAAAACTCATGTTGGAATTTAATTGCCATTATAGCAGCATTAAGACATGGAAACTTTAAGATGTAATTAGGCCATAAGGGTTCCCCCTTCACAGGTGGGATTGCTGCCTTTCTAAAAGGAAGAGTTATTCGCCCCCTCACTTTCTCTTGCCCCCTTTTTGCCCTTCCACTTTATGCCATAGAAAAATGTATCAAGAAGTCCTTTGCAGATGCCAGCACCTCCATCTTAGACATCCCAGCCTCCATAACTGTCTGTTTATTACAAATTACTCAGTCTCAGGTATTCTGTTATAGGAGAAAACACACGCACACACACACACCAGACTAAGATGGTTTTTCATAACTGTGACCCTTTATCAGTGGTCATGTATCAGTAGGATGAAAAAAGGACCTTGGGCAAACTCACATTAATTGTAACCTCCATGTCAACCCCTTCCATAGGAAATACCAGCTGTGTGGTCAAAATAGTTCACAAAATCAGATATGTAAAATATGACTATAACTGAAAATAATGTTCTTGAGTTCCCAACTTCATGGATTTTAATAATGCTTAATTGTACCAATTCACAGTAATTAAATTAATTCTGTTTTAAAAATGAATCTCTCAGAATTCCACCTCCCTCACACATACATATATACATAATTATTATTTTAATTCTTAGCTTCTGCGTTCATCTAAAACCTAAAGTCGAAAATAGGGTTGTATGTCATCCTGGCATTAGAAGAAGGGCATTTAGATTTTTATGCCATCTCTTGCTCCTCTGGTCTGTACCAAAATGAAGCTCATCTGTCAGGTCGATAATACTCTCATTGCCTTCACTGACCTAGTTGATGGCCCCGCCCTGGGTTTTAATTGCCAGAATCAAACAATCTGCATTCTCTCTTTCTGAACCAAAGCCTTCTTTTGGTACCTTGGTTCTCATGATAACTTTGGTGGTGTTGGCTGCTCAGGAATGTTGTTTATTTTCCCTCACTGCTTTGGGAGTTCCTGACTTTGTGAGACTGTCCTGATGTTGATCTAAGAATCTCCTTTAGCCACTGCTATTCTCTAATCATAGGTGCCCTTTTTGGACTTGGGTTTTCCTTGTAAGACTTGCCACTATTTACACTGTGGGAAGCCAAACCTTGGTGTTGACATCATTTCTCTCCTTTAACCAAAGGCTTAGCTACACTCCTGAGTCCTCTGTTTGACTAGATCTAATTTTGGGTTTCCCTTCTTATCCTTACAGAATGTAGTCTGAGCAAGAATTCTGCCAATTCAGTTTATGAAAAATCCCCCACTCTTTGTATCCAACCCCCTCTCAATATCTTATCATCCTGACATGCCTTCAGCAATAATCCTACTGAGTCTGTTTATTTAGAAACCTCCTTATGCTTGATGTTCCTCTTTGTAATTTTTCATCCACTGACCACCCCCACACACACCTCAAACCTTGTTCTTGGTTTTAAATCTTCAACTGCCCTTGTTAGAGTCAGAGTTGAATCCCATCTCTCTCCGCTGCATGACCCATGCTGCAATGTCTGCTGCAATGGCCCCCCTTAGAATAAGGTCTACTTTATTATCTTTAGCAAGTGTTTGTATAATATTTTCTTGAACAAAGTTTGCATCATCTCCTCCACTCTTTGAGGTTTGATCCAAAAACAGGAGACAGGGCACTTCCCAGAGACCACAGTGTCCAGTCTAGTCACATTCCTTTGTGATTTCTCTTCCCATATACAAATCAGTCTAAACCTCACTTTCCTACTCGAAGGAATCAATTATTGGCTCAAATTTCAAAAAGGTTCAGCTCTTAATATTTAAATGGAAGCCTCTGGCAATTAAAAGAAGTGTACTTTTGTCTCAAGCCTGCGTTTCTTACAATTGAAACCCTGCTTTTTCAAAACACTGTCACTACCATAGGTTTACAGACTTTCAGAAGTAAAGATTTCAACTTGTTGTTGTTTTTTCCCTACTTCTCTTTACTGTGCCTGAGTCCTTTTTTCTCACTAGTGGTTAGCAAAGTGTCTTAGCCTTAAAGACTGAAATAAATAAACATATGATTGTATCTCAGTCAGATATATCTTTCTAATTCATAAATTTATCAAACCATTTAGCTTTTGTTTCAAAGCCTATCAGAATACATAACAGCTATATTAGTTTCTTAATATCCTGATGCCATAACACAGTACTACAAACTAGGTGGCTAAAAACAACAAAAATTTATCTTCACACAATTCTGGAGGTTAAAAGTTCAAGGCAGGTTCATGCTTCCTCTGAAACCCAAAGGGGAAGAATTCTTCTTTACCTCTCACTGGCTACTAATGGTGGCTGTCGATCCTGGGCATTCATTGGCTTCCAGTTGCATCACTGCAAGCTCCACTTTGTTATCACAAGGCATTCTTTCTTATACGTTTCTGTTTTACATATGGATGTCTTCCTCACTGTGTGTGTCTATGTCCAGATTTCCCTATTAGAAGAACATCAACCATATTGGATTAGGGCTCATCCTAACTATGTAAATGAAGAATTACACATGAATTCATTTCACAACAACTATGATTACATCTGTAAAACTTGATTGCATCTGTAAAAATACGATTTTCAAATATAATCACCTTCATGGGTATTCTGGGTAGAGACTTCAACATATCTTTTTTGGTTGTGGGGGGAGGTTCACAATTCAACTCATAACAGCATGTCATATAGTAGTTATTCACATATTTGAAGACATAGAAAAACAGTCTACATGTGAGGTATTTCCATAATTTAATGGTACCTACTTTGTGCATATGTTTATCAACATGTAGCAGCATGCTAAAGTTTTTCCCTGCATTTAATTATTTGAATTTAAAGGAGTCTCCTGCTGTATCACTGTCTAGTTTCCCTTCGCCCTGAATAGTCTTTCATTTGTATTTTAAAGCTTTTGATGTGAAACCAACTGCTATTATGACTTTCCTGTTAAAGGCCTGAGCCAAGTCCATTTAATCAGTATTAGAATCGGCCCATTAATCCATTTTATTACAAATCATGGAGAAAAATCAAACCCAAAAGAAATAAAAATATAATGTTGTACAATACATTTACTTGTGTCTCTTAACCTAAGACCTTGGGTCGGCTGTTCCATTTCATAGCAAATAAATTTAAGAAAATTCATATTTATCAACCTTACATGTATCTTACTTTCCGAAGTATCTTTATGAGATATGCCACTGTATTGAAAAGGATATTGAAAATGTAACTGTGAAAACTGAAGCAGCACTGTATCACATAAATGGTATGTGTATTTATTGATAATGACATAAAAATTTGAGAGTTAAGTCATTAATACTGTGCCCCAAATGGCATCTGATTTGTGATCTCAATCAAAATTGCTTTCAACAGAAGAATGAATGATTAGAGTATTACACTCCAGCTGGAAAATACTAAACTCCCACAATATTTAATTC